CTCCGAGAACATCAGTTTCACACAAATTGTTTCATTGCAATGATTACAATCCCCTCGGTGCATCATCATTCAACAGTATTTGCTTCTAATCTGTTTTTTGGGGCCAGGGGATATGTACACAAAAACACTCAGGAATATATAATCATTTAAGCAACCAAAGGGCACATTCTGCAAGCCTGCCTCCTGGCTGCCAGCACACAGCCTTTCTCTTTCCATGAGTCTAGAGTCCTCAGCTGCTCCCTCTCTCCATGTCCTCATCTCTGCCTCTATCTCTGATATCGCTGCTTCTCTGGATAGGGTTCCTCAGTCTGCTCATGCTCTTCTCCCTTGATGGTCCTAGGGTCCTCTAATCCTGGAATGTAAGATTAACTACTCCCCCCTTTATGTTACAAACCTTCTACCTTTACAGTTGTGATAATTGCAATTAGTCATAATAACAATTACTCACTTTTGAATCGTAAGAATCATATCCCCTTCTCTTTTCACAAGACCCATCTAGCAAGATGAAAAATATTCAGTGGGGACTCTCTCTTCCCCTGCACACTGAAACTAAACCCTCTTTTGAAGCCTTGTAAGCCCTTCATGCCTTTATAGCCTCCAATTTTAGGTAGTCATTGTCTAAGTTGCCAGTCTCTATCAACCCTGTGTACAGAGGGGATAGCACTGATACTTGATGTGAAGATTCCTTCCCTGTCAGTTGGTATTGTGAGCTACTACTTCCATAAGGTCAAGTTCCTCAAATTGTAGCAATTTACAGTTGTTTCCTTTATCAAAATTTTTCTTCTTCCAGTCGAGTTCTGATCATCAAGCCATCAAAGCTAGGTTGAATGGGTACTATCTGCAAGTTTGGGTGTTCTTGTGCATCTCCTCTCACTTCATGTCAGCTGGATGCTTCACTCTCAGCTCTAGCCCTCTGTGGCTAAGTCCTTTTCCATGGGCTCAGGAGTCCCCAGGTCTCACCACACTTGGGACAAACCAGCCCTTCCTCTTCTCTCCCTCATCTCAAGGTCGAAGGGAGTCTATGGACTGCAAACACTGTTTCTTAAACTTTCCGTTATTTGTTGTATTAATTCCGACTCATAAAAACCCTGTATAGGGTTTCTGAGGAGTGACTGGTGGAAATGAACTGCGGATCTTGTGTCTATCCTACATTGTTTGTTGGTTGCTATTATCTGGGGGCAGAGGCCAGCCTTTCTAGGGCTAGCTAGTCTGTCCTTGTGACACAGGTCACCCCGTTGAGAAAGTGGTGCTCACAGGATGTGGCTTCCACAGGTAAGGCTGATTTTCAGGTGACAGACACGTTGTCAAGACCTGTGAGTCACACATACTTGAATCCGCCTCCCACCTCTCTGGTTTCTGGGTATGGTGGCCAGAATTGGGGTGACTGTGTACCTAATAGAAAGTGACCGCTAACCACACAGTCTCCCCTGTGAGCCCCTGAAAGTGCAGTACTTTAAGTCCCTGGCTCCTGAGTTTCTAGCCAATGGATAATGTGGGGAAGGGGGTGTGACATGTCTGGCTCAGAAAGTCTAGACCTGGTGATGAAGCTCAGGACGTTATTTTGTCTAAAAAATGCCCCAGACCAAACCCACTTCATTGGCATCAATTCTGACTCCCCGGACCCTATAGGACGGAGTAGAACTCTCCCTATTTCGGAGGCTGTGAATCTTTCCGGATACATGAAGTGGGGGCGCGGGGGGGGGGGGGGGCAGTGGGAGCCTCCCTCCCCCAGGCCTCACTGGGCCTTGTTTTGGGGCTGGGATCCGGCAGATACACTGGCTTGTCTGGTTCCCACCAGCGGATCAGCAAGCTCATTCTCAAACTCCTGACACCTGCTTGTCACAACTGCAGCTGCGTCCCCCACAGATGCCCCCTCCCTGTGCTGGGGGGTGGGGAGTGGAGCAAGAATAATCCAGGGAGGAACCGGGAGCACAATAGGCCAGGATTTTGAAGGTGTGGGTAGGCATTAGGTTTGACAAGTGGGCCCAGGTTTATGAATGTGCTGAGTGGACAACCCCCATCCCTGGGCCCCCGGAGACTGGTCCATCCCTGGGGCATCAGCACGGCACCTCGCTGGGCCCAGGCTCCTGCTCCCTAGGTCCAGCCCTGGCTCTGTCATGTGGCACCCGGTATACCCCGGGAGGTTATATTGTGTCCAAACCTTGTCTTGGGAGAGTCAGGATGAGCCCCAGAGAGCAGCTTGCATTTTGGGGTCTGGCCTGGGACAGCATTCAGAAGACTCCTCTAGAGACGGCTTTCCCACCCTGCCGTCCTGTGGGACCCGCCTTTCTGATCCCGTGTCTGCTAAGCATAGTGGGTTACGACTGAAAGATGAAGCCGTCTGTTCCTGTAAAGTTACAGCCTTGGAAAGTCCATGCAGGGTCACTGTGAGTCAGAACAGCCCCATCACCGCAGGGCAGTTTCCGAGGCTGTAAACCTTTACAGGAGCAGACGGCCTCATTTTTGGCCCACGGTCAGCAGCCTGATGCCTAAGGCGCAGTGCCACCAGGGTTCCCATGACCACCATGATGAGGACTACTCAGAGTGCTCATCAGGTTCCCTGCGGGTTTCCCTCCCAAGCTCTGGCCTCACCTGGTCACAGACCTGCTCTTCTTGGAGGCCCTCTCTCCTCTGTGCTGTGCCGGCCCCTCCTCCCGGTCATCTCGGTGCCAACCCCACAGCCCATTGGAACAACATCTGTCACGGGACTCTGGAAGTTGCTCTCCATAAGGTGTTTACTGGCCAATTCTTCCAGAAGTGGATGGCCAGGTCCTCCTTCCTAGTTTGGAAGCTCTGCTGGACCCTGTCCACCCTGAGTGACCCTGCTCGTATTTAAAACACCAGAGACAGAGCTTCCAGTCTCACACCAGAGAAAGGCCCTCAACTAGATGGTCCGACACAGCATTTGCGACAATGAGCTCAAACACAGTGACCGAGGAAGGCACACGACCTGCCATGGTTCATTCCGTTGTGTGTGGGCCCCACTGGACGGCACCTAGCTGTCACCACCACCTGGGAGCATCAGTCCCGGCTTGGCAGGTGGCAGAGTCCACGAGATGGTGCTCTGTGACATCAGAATGATCTGAACCACTCTGAGCTATGCTTGCTTAGCTGAGAGTGGCTCGGATCATTTTGACTTGCTAAGTTTTCTCCTCTGTAGAATGGGGACAGGCACCACCAAAGGAGGACTTGTACAGAAAATGACAAGCGGGGTCAAAGCCTGTTTGCCATCAAACCTCAGTGTGTACAATTGAGGTGAGTCTCCAAAGCTACCCCTCGCCCCTGCCCCACCCCACCTCCTGCCACAGCCCTGTCTACCCTCCTCCTGCTCAGCGCCTGCTGAGAAATTAGTTTGCTTAGAAAAGCAATTTCCCAAGTGAAGTGAGCTATTCAAAAGGTGTGAACTTGTGGTTGACAATCTTTATTAATGGTGTGGCCGGTCTTGGGGACAGCTCCGTTCCTCATTTGTTGTGTCTGGCTCTTGTGCCCACCACCACTGATCTACTGAGGATGGAGCCAGCGCCTCACTCCCAGCCTGATGGACAGGCCGTAGGACTGGAGATGGGACCCAGCGGCGGCCCCACGGCTGCGGAGAGGTCAGGGCTGGTGGCAGGCTGGGACCACCACGCTGAGCTGGGTCTCCTGACCAACAGCTTTAGGGCCCTCCCATCACATCTGATTAGATTCCGGATCTCTTACTTCCAGGGACTGTGGGGGCCTGCTGGTAGAGGCAGATGTCCTGTAAGGCCCAGCGGCCCAGGCCACTCTTCTGCTGACACTGTCTGATCCCAAAGGCCTGCTGGGCCAAGGTCGGAGGCTGGACCAGTCAGACACTCTGAGTACGGTAACCAGCAGCTCTTGGTTGTGCGAGTTTGAAGGACCCAGGAGTCCAACCCCTCCGCTTTGTGTCACTGAAGGATCTATGAGAATACTGGCCAGGGAAGCACGTACGTCTTTCTACTGCAACCATCTGGCAACACAAGCAACATACGGCACAAACCTCTGAAATACGTGGATAAAGAAAAAACAACCCCAAGGAGAAATGCAAGAAATTTATTAGAGTCATTATTATTCTTGAAATTAACAATCGATAAACTCATTAAAAGAAGCCATTTTGCGTTCATTGATCAAGCGCCCACAGACAACGAGAAAAGCGCTTTGGACATAACGTGACCATCTGGCTGCAACGCAGAAAACTATGCTGATGCTTAATTTCTGGGGCGGATGTGCCTGGGACCACGGGACCTGAGTGGGCGTGGCCTGCGAGGTCCCAGCTCCGCTCCTTCAGGGAATTGTAGGCACGCTTCTGAGGGCAGTGGTGACAGGGGTCTCCCAGCTGGGCTGGAGGTGTGGCAGCTGCTCAGAGAGCCACTGTGGACCCCAGCAAACACCATCAGTCTGCTTGGGCAAACTGGGCCCCTAGGAGAGGTGCTGTTTCTTCAGGGCCCGCAAAGCCACCTGCCGGGGAGCAGGAGACACTGACTAAGGGAGGGGCCGCAAGGAAATGTGCATGGGGGTCCGGGGGCACATTTCTGTAGCTATGTTGGAATGTGGAATTTCGAGCTGATTAGACTAACGAGTCACTGAGCGGCACAAACGTTTAACACACGGAACTAATATGAGGTTCCGGTCTACACAGAGGCCCCTCAGAATAAAGGGCTGGTGATCCCCTTCTGAAAAATCCAGAGCATAATGCTACTCTGACACATATGGGTTCGGCAGGAATGGAATTCAACTTAACAGCAATTGGTGTTCTTAGACCAAGATGGGGAGGGAGACCCGGGGACAATGATCCCCAGAATACCATCTAACGGGGACTCTCCGTACATATCTAACGTGGCTGGACTCCGTTTCTAGGGAAATTACAGGCGAAGAAAGGAAAGCTTTGTTTTGTCTTAGATTTCCCAGCGGAGCTGTGTTTGGGGGGAAGATGCCAGTTCGCCGTGTGGGGTAAACATCGAGGTGGGGGTGGGTCAGGGCCTGGGCTCCTCGACACCAGCTCACTTTCGAGGCTGTTGGATGTGCGGAGTCCTGGGAGAGGAATGCTTGTCCATGGAGGCGTGTGGCTTCTGGTGGGCCACCTGTGCGGCTTCCGGGGGGAAGTCCTTGTCACCCTGTCAGGAGACACGAACAGAACACAGGGCCTTAGACCCCTTGGCTGATGGGTGGAGCTCTAGATCTTTACAGAAGCTTCACTGCTAACAGCCTAAAATAAAGAGGCGGCTTTCTTGTCATTAAGAGATTTTCTTTTCCTTACTGGTTTACAGGTTTAATTCATTCTTTAAATAACCTGACTCCCAGGACAAAGGATATTGGGTTTTCTAAGGCATGTGCTTTTTAAAAATAAGCTGATGTGGCACTAGGAGTTAATGTACTGGACTGCAAGCTCCGTCTGAACCTCAAGGTTGGCAGTTCAAGCTTACCAATCGCTCCTTGGAAACTCTATACAAGGTCGCTAGGGGTGGGAACAACTTAACAACAATGCTCAGTTTATTTATCAGTAAATTAGTATAGATTCCAGCAAGGTAATTTTAATAAATCTAGTCACTTACGTAAAATTACTAACTAAAATGACTAATAACTAAATTGTAAATCTAAAGTCAAATATTGTAAGTTTGGTAATACCGTATTATGTCTAATGCTTTCTAAAAAGGTTAATCACAGTATTTTAAAGTATTCCAGCTAATTAAGTTTGAATGAACTGTATTTGTCTTCAGGAGCTCTGGCAGCCTAGGGGTTATGAAATCGGGCTGCGAACCCCAAGGTCGGCAGTTGGAAACTACCAGCCGTTTCGCGGAAGAAAGAGGAAGCTTTCTGCTCCCATAAAGATTTACAGCCATGGAAACCCTGTACAGGGTCGCTATGGGTCAGAACCTCCTCCACGGCACATCACCACCACCACACCACAGTTGAGTTCACATTTTGTCTGTAATTCCCATCCACTCTTTTATAATGTTGTTATAAATGAATAACAGCCAATTAAAGTTTTATCATCTACAGATAAGCTTTGCTGATGTGCTCTGCTGAGGTGTTGAAACATTTGACAACAAGCTCCCAACAAAATGATGAACCGTATTGGACTTGGTGATCGGTCAACGCGACTGGGCCAGGATTTCCAGTGGTTTGGCAGATGAGATGTAGTTCTCCCCATGCAAAGCTTGTTTGCTTTCTGCTGGGCAAGGATCTTACACCTGACTTGTCTACACCAGGAGTTCCCATACCACCTGTTACAAAATGTAAATGTTACTGGTGTTAAGTATGTTGTTAAGTGTTTAGTGCCGGAGGAGTCAGTTCTGACGCATAGCGACCCTGTTTAGAATGTTTGAAATGTTTAGAATGTTTGAAAAGTGGCTGGTGGGTTTGAACCATTCACCTTGTGATTGATTTAAACCAATCTTGTAGTCCAGTGCTTATCCTACAGCACTACACCAGGACTCCTGCTTGTTTATAGACAGTGCCTTATGGTGGTAGTGGTGAGCTATGGAGGAGGTTCTGACTCATAGCAACCTCATAGGGTTTCCGTGGCTGTATATCTTTACGGGAGCAGAAAGCTTCATCTTTCTCCCATGAAAGAGCTGGTAGTTTCGAACTGCTGACCTTGAGGTTAGTAGCCGGACTCGTAACCACTATGCTACCAGAGCTCCTCGTGCCTTATAGTATTCATTATTAATACAGTCTCTTTCAGATTTTAATTTTATAGTTATTTTAGATCAGTGTCTAGTATTGTTAATATTTCTATTCTGTTTAATTTTGGGTCTTAAACAGAAATTGGTGCCTAAAAGCCATTTTAATTTGAGCTATAATCCAGAGAAACTAGTGAAAGTACTTTTTTCTTTTTACACTGAACACTGTACTCCAGAATTCTGTTTAGAGTTAACGGAATAAAAGTAAACACTGAGCATTTAAAGTTAGAACAATACCAGTAACCACTATTTAGTCTACAGAACAACGCTGTTATAAAACTGATCACGATCTGTCGTCACCCCTTACTTCATTCACACTTTGAATCCACAGATCCTCAAGAGATCCAACGTTAGCTCGTGTGAGTTTTTCAGGAAACCGATTCATTCCTCCAATAGGGCTTTGTCCTACAGTTACGGTGATCAAAGAATTTCTACAGAAACCCATAATCAGAGGAGGGAATGCTATGTGGAGGTGCACAGGCAAAAAGGGGTCCTGGCATGGCACTGAAGGATAAGCACTCGACCGCAAGGTCGACTTCAGCCACAAGATTGGCGGTTCAAACTCACCAGCTGCTCCTTGGCAACCCTATGCATGGTCGCTATGAGTCAGAGCTGACTCGACAGCACTTAACAACATGCAAAATAACTTTTATTTTTTCCTTTATACCTGTTCTGAAAATGTAACTCATACCTGTTAGTAGGGAAGAATACTTGGGAGGTTTTAAATAGTCCCCCTAAAGTAAGCCTGGAGTCTTGGTGTGGTGCCCTAGGATAAGCATTCGACCTCAAGGTCAATGCTTTATATTCACCAGCCGCTCCTTAGAAACCCTATACAGGGTCCGCTGGCAGTCGGAATTGACTCGATGGTACTTAACAACAACAGTAAAGTAACATTTGGGAGCGTGGTGACTCCATATACGTACTGGAAGGTCTCCAGCTCTGAGGGAGAATGAGGCAAGCCTTGGAAACCCTATACAGGGTCACTACGAGTTGGAACCGACTCGATGGCACTTAACAGTAAGAGTCACCCAACACTACATGTCTTTTTAACTAAATTTTACATTTATTTTTGTAAAATGTTATCACACTTTTCACAGGTGAGAAACTGTGATCCCTAAGCTTACCTATTTCACCCCCAATGCTATCTATCTATTAAAAGAGACGTCAGAAGAACTCACTCGGAACTCTGCTAGAGGCGACCTGACTTCAGTCTTTAACTAGAAATACATCTGTCATACACTAAAGGACCTGAACCTTCCTCTGTCCCGGTGGGCAGAAACGGAAGAAGGCTAGTCCCAAGGTCTTGGCCTTTGAGTTCACTGGACTTTATTAAAATCCCTATTGCTTTTGAAAGGAGCTCTGGTAGTGTAGTGGTTGCGAGTCGGTCTGCTAACCTCAAAGTCAGCAGTTCCAAACTCCCAGCGGTTCCACAGGAGGAAGATGAGGCTTTCTGCTCCCGTAAAGATGGACAACTTTGGAAACCCAATGGAGGGTTGCTATGAGACGAACCGACTCCACAGCACATCACCACCACCACCACCACCCACCACCATTACTTTCTTACCATGGTAACTTGAGTTTATGGATGGATTAAAAATGTATATTTACCATCTATTTTCATATTCTTTACTACTGTGTTGTATGTCTTGGGGTTCGACAGACAAATAGCTTGCCTTAGTGAGTGGGTGTTACTTGAAAACACTGCCTATCGCCTGCTCTCATTCGTTTTATAGTTTTGTTCTAGAACGTAAGTTGTATAAGCGACCCTCTCTGTGTGTCCTAGCTACTACGTTCCCCTTTATAGGCCTATGTCTGTGTTTCTCAGCAGACTGACGATGCTGTTACACTCCTGGGACACTGTATGAAGTTGACATGTATCATTTTTCAAGAAGCAAACATGCTGCCCATGCAGTCAGTGACCACACGGTCAGGCCATCCCTCTGAGGAATGGTCTTTTCTACACTGCATTTGTAAGGACCAAACTGATTTTGCCTACCTAGA